GGCAGTGCTGATTTTCCTAATGCTCGTGCAGCCATGAATTCTCCGCTCGCAAAGGCTTTATTTGGTATTGATGGTGAGCTTTTCATACATACCTTTTATGATGTATCGCATGAATGCCATGTACAAGTGCATTGGAATGCTTCTGCTGCTATGCTTGATATCTGTAGTTCATGGTTCTTGTCTAAACATGACTAATGGTAGTTTTAGCCATAATTAGGTCAGGAACAATCGATCTTTCATTAAGATTAGATCTGCGATACTGTTTGATGGCATAACTTTGTCAAGGGTCCTTATCTGTTCATAGAAATTCAACCCATTGAAATCTTTTAAAGTTCACTTCACCTAGGAGATAAATATGTCATGCACTTTGATGTTCTTCCTTCTGTTGTTTTGTGTTCTTCACCTTTAACCTGGCTGCACTTGGTACATCATAGTTGAATGTAGTTGATATTCTGCTAGTATTTGCTTGATTTAACACTATCCGGGTAATGGTTTCTATTCATCTACCAGACTCATGGACTGTGATAATCTTATGTTCTGCACATGTGGTTTTGTCCTCTAGCAGATGGCTTGTCATCTCTGCACTTGTCTTCTACATAGATGAAAGACTATTGACATCTGCCTGAGTCTCAACCTGTGGTTGTATAGCTATTATAACATAAGACAAATGTTACAATTTAGTAAAGCAAATTTTGTCTTTGTTTGGACACTAGCCTTTGACTAGTAATTGTTGCACAACGAAATGCAATCTGATTTGATCAAGTCAACAGAATAAGCAAGCTGATGGAGACTAAAGAACTGAATGTAACAGTAGCAAAATAATAAACAATAAACTTTGTATTAATGATCTTTTCATGGAAGCCAGTCTTTTTCAGATCCTCAGGCCCAAGATGGAAGCCTGGAATTTCTAAATGGGCTGTATGTTCTATTCCTGGCCTGTGGTGATTCCTTACATTTGATAGCCTTGAGTAGCCCTTGGATTTTGTCTGAATAATGGATGCTTTATTTCTAAGTAATCTGCAGAGCAAGTTGCTATTAGCTAAAGGTTGGGGTGGAAAAAACCGGATTATGCTTTATGCCTTATATGTCTTATGACTTCAGTTTATGTATATGTCTCAATACAATTGGTTCATGTGATATGTCTTAAAGACAAAAGTTTTGGTGCAAGAATAACAAAAAAAACTCTTTTTTTAACCCCAAAGATTCAGTTTTCTGTATATGTTCTGTGCTTTCTGTAGCTAGTTGCAATCAATACTTGTCTTCTGTTCTCTTGAACTTGCTATATTTTATAGGCCCAATCACTGTTTGATTTTCTGTTCACTTTGGTTGGGATTTCTGTCCCAATTTATCTGTAGGCTGTTTGCTAGCCACCAGCATAATTATGTCTGTTGCTGATACAGGGATTACACGAGTCTTCTTCGGTTCTGACTTTGTAACTGTGACAAAGTTGGAGGATGCTTCTTGGGAATTTTTAAAGCCTGAAATATTTGCAGCAATCATGGACTTTTTTATGTCTGGGAAGCCACTAATCATGGATTCAAATAGTTTGGATTCCATGGACACAGCTATCCACGAAGATGATTCAGAAACTGTAGCGATGATCAAAGAACTTTTGGAGACCCGTATTCGACCAGCAGTACAAGACGATGGTGGTGATATTGAGTACAGAGGATTTGTTCCAGAAACTGGAATAGTCAGACTAAAAATGCAAGGTGCATGCAGTGGTTGCCCTAGCTCATCTGTCACTCTGAAGTCTGGCATCGAAAACATGCTGATGCACTATGTACCAGAAGTCAAAGGTGTGGAACAGGAACTTGATACTGAAGATGAAGATCCTGCACTGACTGGAGCAGCTTATGAGTAGTTGAAGTGCTAGAAATTAGGTAATAAGTGCAGAAGATTTCTTGTATTTAGCAGTTGTATGTGCCAATTTTTGCCTAGATAGTGTGAGGATTAAAATCATTTTCTTGATTTCCCATCAACATGACTTTTATATCTTCTTCTTGGAAATAACACCATTGCTTTATCTTGCTTGTCTGATCTTGACACCGTATTTAGAAGTCCAGACTTTATTAACCGCCTAAACTTGTCTGATCTTGATTGTGGCCACTCATGGTCGTCAATCCCTTCCCTGCAGCTAGGACGTAATTCTGCTTAGTGACATTTTTGATTTGTTTAAATTCAATGTGGTACCGTAGTACTGTGTCCAAGGTTCCCAGTAATGAAAACATGGGAACCAAGACAACTTACTGTGTACCTTTTATATTGCATTTCTGTTATGTTGGTTATTTCGAGAAGGATAGGAATAGGGTTTGCGAAAAAGCAATAGCAAAACGTGTGTCAGGTTGATTATGGTCTTCTTCTCGTGCAGGTTTTGTTAGGTTACACATAGAGTGGGCAGGCAGCAAAAGCAAAACTGGATTAGGTAACGCACCAGAGATGGATCAAAGGTCTAGACAATAGCTTTGGAAACCTAGTAGTGGATTCGGCTTCAATTGTGTCCTTGAAGTTTTACTTTTTCTTGTTCCTCTAGGAGTTTGTATTCTAATCTGAAGTAGGGCAAACAGATGAAGACGTCCTAGGTTGTGCATTCATTCTTCCATATACAAAGGCAAGGCCAGTAAATCAATAATACTTCTTTGGTCAATGATTCATTTCATCCATTAAATTTCACGAACTACGTTTATGCTGTTTTCAAAGACCTCTGCTCAAAATCCTAAACCCAAAAAAAGTCGTGTCAATTTATTAATTATGCCTTGGGGGTTCTTGCCAACAATACGTGTAACCTCAAAACCCAACGCATACACCGTTCCTTTTGGTATCTACTTCAGCAGGTTGCATGCGTTTTACATGCTTCTGCCAAAAAGATGACTGAATGAACAAGTGAATGGATGGAAAGTAACGTTAGGCTGTTCTCGTGATCTATAATTGTATGAAAATGTCTATGACCATTTCTGATAACGTATATGGTAATTAATTGGTTAATGTGAAAAATTTTGTGCACCATTTTAAGCAAATGGAGTTTAAAAATCGAAATTTGAATTTTTGGATGCAACTGCATAAACCAAGACAAAGGAGAAAAATGTCTTGTGTCGTCAACTCTTCACAATGTGCAACTTAACAAGCTTTTAGTGCTAAATAGTGGGATTTGCCTCACTTTCAACCAAACCCATGCCTGCGTCAGTTTTCAATGTAACTTCAATTGCTGCAACGATTTATGACCTCCCCTTGCCTTATTAAAAGCTGGCAAAAGAATGAAAAAGTGAAAATAATATATAAAGCAAAGAAGAGAGAGCGTCTTTTCTGATGTTCTTGAGTGCGGGGTGATCAGTCCAGAGAAGAGTTCAGGAGAGTGCTTACAGGAGGAAAAAAATGGTGGGGTGGTGGAGAAACAAGAGAGAAGCTAGACTATCGGTCCAACTGCTGCTGCCACTGCCACTGTGTGTTCGCTGGATAGCTGAAGAAATGACTGATTCAGTTCTTGCAGATGCCACTACTAATGCTCTTTGTCCTGGCCATTTTTTAGAAAGGCATTGAAGATGGTTCAAGAGCAATATAACTCATTGAGATGTGCTGCACGTCCTGTTATTAGCATGTAATGCTACAAGCTTTGTTCCTTCGTCTTTGATGATTTAAGCGCCCGATTCATATTGTCATTTCGCTATATTTTTTCAGTGCTTTAATGTAGCTTTTCCTTCCCTTTATGGTTTGTGAATGGATACATCAGCATATTATCTTTTACACTTTTCTGAATAACTCTGTTTGCTCCTCAGCCCATTGCTGAAGTGCATTTCTCCTGTTCCTGTTTCCATTCTTCCCCTGTTAACGGATGGTCGACTTGAAGACCTGGAAAAGGTTAAATGTATTAGATATGGTAGGTCTAGAGTGGGATTGCTGGCTTCATATCTCATGACAGGGTAAATTGCAAGGATCTATTGCCGGTGTGACTCTAGTCACCAGTAGATGGCTCCGTTGACCTCACCTGTGAGGTAGCGCGCAATTTCGCAATTTTGTCCAGACATTATAGGATTCTTCCTCAATTTTTGCTTTGCTGCCTTTTTCATGTCCAGTAAAGGACGCCATTGTCGTGTCCAATTCCTTCTCATGCTTGGTATATGATGAGATACTTCATTGTCTATTCCGCATAGAACAAATAGAGAAACTTCGTTGATAGTGCCATAATTTAACTTTTATTATTTGGTCTCTTTGGACGGACAGGAGTAATTACACGAGAAACAATAAGAGTGTGTTTGATAAAATCGAAGGTTGAAATCTGAAATCTAAAGTCTGAAGTTTGAATTCATTAAGTTATTGAATTGTTAAATGTTAAATCAAATATATTTGAGTGTATATCACATTCAGTGATAAGTGAATAGTTTATCACTTATTTTTGAAAATAAATTTTACCTAGAAAATTCAGTGCTACTTAATTAATTCAAATGTTTAATTTTGATTATTAAACACATTTGAACATATTAACATCTGAATCTATTAAGTTTAAGTGCTGAATTGGACTATCAAACAAGACGTAAGTGTGTTTGGATACTCATTATGTAGAAAAATTATTTATTTTGACACTGTTATATTTTTTTTATAATGTGATATATATATATATATGAGAGAAAAAGATTAAAAATATATTTATTATGTAATTCAAATAATTATTTCATATAATGATATATCCAAACACACATAATATTTTTCCTAGCCAAACAAAAAGAGTTTCGTTGGTTGCATTTTCATCCTTTCATTCATGTAGTCAAGTCCTTTAAAAAAAGGACTTCCAAATACCAAATGCATGATTGTAATTGAGATTTTTTTTTAGACCAACAACTCAGGAAACTTACAGTAATGTAATGAAGAATATCTATCTAATGTTCATAATGACATGTTTTAATTGTACATGCTTAAAAGAAAATTACTTTAGAAGTTCATGGAAATATTTAACCTTGACTACCATTCCATGTCCATAAAAATTAAATAGCAAACGCGAACATGTTTTTCACCTGCAGACGAAAAGTGGCAAATTAACTTGATGCTCCAATTGGCTTATTCTGAGTTGACAGCAACAAACCATCATCCGCAGTTGGCCGGCGGAGCGTATTAATGTTCTTGCTTGTGTGTGTGTGCGTGTGTGTGCGTGAGAGTCATAAGAGCAAGACGAGGGTGTTGAGGAGAGTTGAAAGAAATGGTTGGAATGTGGTGGTGGAAAAACAAGAGAGAGGTGCGACTACTGGTGCACCTACTGCTGCCACTGAGTGTTCACTTTGTAGCCGAAGAGATGACAAAATCGGTTCTTGTGGACGTCACCACTAATGTACTTTGTCCAGGCCAGTCCACATGCCCGGAGGCCATCGACCTCAATGGTCTTCAACAAACCGTAAGAGATTCTCAAGCTGCATGGATAATCTCCCAACCCCTTCTCTGCCAATGCATGTTTTTACTGGTTGTGTAAGGTGGGATTTGTGTGTTTTTTAATTCAAGAAGATGGATAAAGTAAATTCTCGTTTTTTGGTGGGCTGCATTATGCTTTCAAACTGACCAATTGGCACTTTAATCAACTCCATTTACTGCTTTAATGACCTGACATTCTTGATATTTTTGAACTTCATTCATACCAAACTCTTTAGATGGACTCCACCAATGAGAGGCTACGGACTAATTAATCGTGATCAGTTGCTACTAAGGTGGGTCTTTTTGGGGTTAATTCTGCAGTATTCTTGTCTGTTGGAAGTTAAGGCCTGCAAAAGAGTAATAACCCACGAGCTTTTGCAGCTAGTTGGGCGGTTTATGGAAGTTCTGATTTTGACAACAGTCCAGAGGCATTGCATGATGTTGTCCTTTCCATCCTCTAATAACTTCGCAAAGCTAAAAATGTGTTACTGGGCACATTTTTCTTAGTAACAATAAAATTTTTCTATGAAATTCTGGTTCTTACGTGTTTCAATCATGCCAAAATTGGTCAAAGCTTCCTTATGTAATTTTGCTTTAATTAAATTAAAAATTTATTTTTATTGAAGTTCATACTAATAGAAATTCATAATGAGGCGAAATAAATGACCCTTTAAATGGAGGTTTTTTTTTTCGGGTAATTTTCAATGAAGGGTATGTTAATGTCACGGGAAATTTTGGTGGAATCTGAAGGTACGATTAAAATCATGTAGGATTTTTGCAATTTCTAGCATAACTTTCCCCATAGGAAAATTCATCCTCTTTCACCGTTTCTTTGAGTAAAGTTTGAACAATATGATCTCCATTAGTATAGAGGAATTCCACTACGTAATAAATTTCAGGTCTACAATTAGGTTTAGATGAAATGAGGAATTGAATTCTTGATAGTTGATTTTCGAAGACTAACCAACCCCAACCGGGGATAATAACTTAGCTTAATTGGTAAATAACTGGCGACATGTATGAATATTGGCAAACATTGGCTGGTATGAACCAGAAGAGTTAGCTAGGATGGATACTGAAAACAGATGCCGGAAGTAATCTTGGCCTAGTCAAACAGAACTGATAGAATGATGACTATGTGAATGTGGGCACTTTGCACAGATTTGGTATACTGTGTTTACTGTTTGGTTTTCCTTTCTTCCCCTTCTTCTTTTTGTTCTTGAGTGGGATAAGTTTCCTCTTATATACTACGTGTTGTCACAAGTAGACTGTTGGAATCTTCAAGATGGTGGTTCTTCCAGTTCTAGGTCAACTTTCAGATGATTATGGTCGAAAGCCACTCCTCCTTGCAACATTTTCTGCTGATATTCTTCCTTTCGGTACGCACTTCATAAACATTTCTTTCTTTTTTTAGGTGAAGTTAACAACTTTGACATCAACATTTTGTATTCCCTCAAAAGTTTCCTGAATTCGTGGAAATGATAAGGCTTTACTCCAATGTTATTTTTTATCTTGATTCCTACATAAATGTGTCTTGTATTTCTTCAGCTGTGCTCGCAATCAATAAATCAAAGGGGTTTGTGTATGCGTTCTACGTTTTGCGGTTTGTTTCTCTGATCTTCAGTCAAGGAAGTATTTACTGCATTGCTGCTGCTTACCTGGTAACAACTTCATTCAACACCTTTTGGGCACAGATCCTTCTTGCAATTATAATAAAAGTAAAAAGGGCATTTTCTGTTTTCTGACAGGCGGATGTTGTTGATGACAACAAGAAGGCTACAGGTTTTAGCTGGATGATGGGCCTAATTTCTGCATCCCGTGTCCTGGGAAATGTTCTTGCTCGTTTTCTTCCTGGGACTTGTTTTTTTGAGGCATGTTACTGCAATTATCTGAGAGCTATGCGACAATTAATGCTTGCCTAATTTTTGAAGCTACTGTTTCGCAAGTCAATTTTTCCATTTCAGGTTGCAATAGCCCTCCTGATCTTTTGTCCTGTATATATGACACTCTTTCTGGCTGAGACTGTAACTCCAGCTCCAAAGGTTGACCAGTGTCTGCCATACTTCAAGAAGGCGTTTAAGCTTATTCAAGAACAATATGACAATATCAGATATGCTGCGAGTGTGGTTATTAGCAGGTAGATTAACATTTTCTTCTGTAGTTTAACGCCTCAAATGTCCAATACATGCTTTGGTTTATCTTGTGCCTTAGATTGTAGTATTCTTCCTCTCCATGATTTATAGGTGACTGACAGCTGCATACTACAGTTTACGCTTTCTGAACAATTTTCATTTTCTCCTCAGCCCTACACTGAAGTCCGTTTCACTTGCTTTATTCTTCTATGAATTGGGGATGTCTGGCGCCACTAGCACTCTACTGGTATGTTATCTATAATATAAAAGATGAACTCAGCTGCTTGAAGTTCTATTAGATATAGGTGATTCAGTTGGTGTCCAATACTATTCATTTGAAACTTTTTTGCAGCAAAATATCAAACAGTAGGTTTAATATTCAGTTAGCAGGACGAAATTTTGATAATGAAGCAAAAAAATTTGATGGCTTTGCTACGGAATCGCGTATCTTTGCCAATCATAATCTTATGGATGCATCATGGGAAATTTGAACAAAATTCATTGAGTTTACCTCAGTTTCCTGCTAGTTGGTTGAGATTCTTTTTGATTCCATCTTCTGTCCTATTCTAGGCTTGGTTTTGCATTTTACTTTTGGAAAAACCTCTGGCTAAGAGCCCCTTGAACTAGGAAATACCATATATTGCGGAATGTTTGTGCTTAGATTGAAGTCCTCAAGCATCTATTTCGTACTCATGTTTGGAGCATATTGATGAACACGAAAAAGGCAAAACACAAAGGAAACATGAGAAGGCAGTATTAATTGTTCTTGTATATTTATTTCCCATCAACATGGATTATCATTAGCTTAGGGAGATCTCCTTGGTCATCTTTTCTTTCCTGGCAGAAAAGTTCAACAAAGAAATTATGAAAAGCTTTGATAAATGAAAAGGAAAATTCATTGCAGAAGTTCGGTTTCAATGACAGGCATCTTTTTAAGTGATTGTATACTCGCATAGATACATCAATGTGGTAAAGTTTAAGTTGGTTGCTCAAACATAGCAATCAATTGCTTAATTTTGCAATCATATTTAAGTGTATCCTTCATTTGTTAAATTGGTCAATTAATCCTTGATTTCACAACCCCAACTTCATTATTCCCTTGATAGAGGAATTAGACTTATTGATGATCCTTAGAAGTTCAGTACAGGTTTTTGCTATTTATTTGCAAATTTTTGTTTTTTCACTTCTGTGGGTTGAACTTCTCTCTTTTGTGTGGGTTCCTTTTTGTCATCAAGCTACACATAATGACTCTACAGTTATTCTTCCAACCAAGAAATTTTCCCCTTTTTTCGTGACATTTATCTCAAAAGTCAAAACTACTTGAGAGTCATTTTCCATCTAAAATGTTCCTGCTGCGCTGTGTTTAGGTTTGCCTAGCTCCTTTTGGCTTTCCTATCAGTGTATTTAGTTTCTGCTACTTTTGCAGTATTATCTGAAGGCGGCTTTTGGTTTCGACAAAAATCAATTTTCAGAAATTTTGATGGTGGTTGATATAGGTGCAGTCATTTCTCAGGTAATTTACAACCCGTTGCTTTCATTCTATGACATTAACTCCTGAAGCAGTTTTTACTTGGTGACCTGGTCAACCTAGAAATGGATCTGTGTAGCTTAGTAGAATGACAAGCTGAAAATAGCAAGATCCATAGGCACATTAGCTTTTCACTAATTCAACACGTTTAAAAGGGATCTTCTAGAGTTTATTTTTCTTCTTTCGAATCTTACGGATGATTAAATTGTCCATGCAGCTAACAAAAAGTGCATGTACAGTAGATACTTAAGATAACCAAACAGGTCTAAGAAGCAGAAAAAGATATTACTGTGTGGGACATTTAGGTGAACCCTCTCTTTCTCCCTCCTATTCTTGGTCATTCCATCATAGACAGATCTGCATACAAGATATACGTACACGGTACATTGTGTTTTATTCAACATTACTCAGATTCTGTTGTAGCCACGTAAAGTGCATTACTGATTGAGGCTTGAATAGTTTGCTTAACTACCCTCATGATTTTTGCCTTTCAAGTGCCTTGAGTCCTCCACAACTTCTTTACTCACTATTTGCTAAAATTGTACTTCTTCTGTAGTTGCTGGTGCTTCCGATCATCACCCCTTTGGTTGGAGAGAAACTTATCCTTTGTGCAGCGTTACTCTCGAATGCAGTATATGTAAGCTGCCTAGTTAATGCAACACCTGGTTTGCCAAGCTTTTTTATGTTGTAGTGCTTATAACATGGAGTTTGATCTCATAGAGATGCTCTCTATTTACAGGCCTTGCTTTTTGGCTTAGCCTGGGCACCATGGGTAAGAGCAACTCTTCCATACAAAATAAATTGGTAAAAAAATGTACCATTAACGGAGAGAGAGGAGAGTAAAGAAGCACGACTGTTTCATGTTTACTCTGCATTGGTACCGAATTAGCACTACAAACATTACAGCCAAAACTTGAAACTACAATGTCAATGAAAAGTTCTTTACCAGCCATCCATTTGTAATACAGGTAACCTACTTTATTGCTGCTTTCGGAGTTGTTAACGTCCTCGTGAGACCTTCTGTAAGTGACTTTTCCGGTAATATGCAAACGTGTGCAATTGTGCTCTTCAAAATTCGTCATTTCATATGTGCTCCATTTTAACATGTTTGGTCGATTGCAGAGCTCTGCTCTCATATCCAAAGCAGCAAGTTCAACTGATCAGGTGGCTATCTTATTTGAAACATGAAGGAAAGCTTTCAAGTTATTGGAATCGGTAGCTATCTAATTGAATTATTGACTTCGTGTCTTAATCACAGGGAAAGGCACAAGGAATTATTTTAGGCGTCCAGTCATTTTCGAGTTTGTTGTCGCCACTAGCAATGACACCACTAACCAGTAAGTAAGCTACTTTTGCAATCTTTTTCAGATTTTAGAGGATTTTGACTTAGTTGTTTAAGAAATTTTTTGATGCTCTAGACTTGTTCCTGTCAAGAGATGCACCATTCAACTGCAAAGGCTTCAGCTTTGTGTGTGCATCTTTATCTGTGGTATGCCTCTCCACCTCCTTGCTTTCATCTGTCGTCTCTCCTTATGAATTTTAAATCTCCAAATATGAGTGTTAGCGCTTCGGGTCCTAACTCCGGTGCTTGCTTCCTTTTCACAGGCTATTGCACTTTGTTTCGCTTTTATGTTGAAGCCAAATACTTCGAAGAAACCCTTGGAGGTTGATGCAGAACACAATAAAGCACCACTTTTGTCATAGCGTATATATGGTGCCAAGGAGGAGTCGGCATCCTCTGAAGCTGTAGAAGCATCACTCTCGTCATATTGTCTGGTGCTAGTAACCCCATTTAAACTGGTCGGCAAGCCCTTCGATGCTGTGGTCTTTTGCCAACCTAGAGTTGTATCTATGATTTGGTCTCATTCTCATGTAATATGGCCATTGGCCTATTTCTGAATAATGTGTGTGTGTGTGTGTTTCAATCTATAGTTCTGTTATGCTTCATTTGCATTCCTTTCTGAGCGTGATGCCTGATTTGTACTCCGTTCATTGACTGTTTTTCAAGTGATTTCCTGGTCATAATTCACACTAGATTCCTGAAGTGGAAAGGGGGCTTTCTTGATCCTCTTTTTTTTTTCACTTTGCACTTCCTGCCATTTCGTACACAATTGTTTTGCAACATAAAAAAGATAGATTATGGAAAAACATGTTCTTTTTAATAATAATCATCTCTTACCAAATTCAGTTACCATTGTTCTCATGTACTACAAAACAAAGTCAGCATTAAATTGCTGAAAGGTAAACGGGTCTGTATCTTTTGTGACTACCACAGAGTTCGTATAATCAAGAACTGAAATTGCAGAGTTTCTGTTTGTAAGTGGTCCACATATGTATGCCGATTTATCTCTGAATCATGTCAAAGAAATTAAGACCTTAATATAAAACTAGGATTATTATCCAAGCCTCTGATTTAAAGTTGGGCAGGATTAATTAAGACTTCAATTGCCCACGAAAGCCACTTGATGGCACACACGTGACACGACCATCAAGGGTGCGCATCACCCAATGTTGCATGCCTGTTTTCCTTCCATGGGAAGGATTCTGTTGACTGATTCAAAACCAAAGGCACAACCTGGGAAACTCCTACTACTATGAATTAGTATATTAGTAGGGAATATATTAGTAGGGAAGTTCAGCCAAAGCCATTGCTTCTTTTACGTCAGTATCCTTATATTCAACTGCCGGCAGCCCCAGCACTAGCACATAGAACCTTCATCCCTCTGGTTATCTGTTTTAAGGGTCTTTTTTTTTCTGTGTCAGAGGAAAAACCGAAAAAGAAATGGTGGGATGGTGGAAAAACAACAGAGAAGTGAGACTACTGGCGCACCTACTGCTCCCACTCTGTCTTCATTGGACAGCTGAAGAGATGACTCATTCAGTTCTTGTAGATGTAACTACTAATGCTCTTTGTCCAGCCCAATCCACCTGCCCTCAAGCCATCTATCTCAATGGTCTTCAGCAAACCGTAAGAGAATTTTATGCTGCATGAATGGATGAACGAAAGAATGATGATTTCCCCACTCCCCTTTTTATTTCCGTGTGATTTTTTCGTGTGTATCTGTTTCATATACATATATTCTTCATCCATCAGTGGAGGTGTTCATAGGTATTGAAGTGGGATTCTCTCTGTTTTGGAGAAGTCTTTCTTTAATGGGATAATGGTTTGAAATTTACCAGTTTTTCTGAAGTTGAAACTGTCGCTACCAACAGTTAACTTAGATGGTTTAATAACCTCAGATTCTTGACCTTGAATTGTTCAGTAATTCTTTGTAGACTTTCATCTAGAAATTTGAACTATGTTGATAATGGTTACCTATCTGTTTGACATAATGGTATTTCAAAGGTAGCATAAGTGCATAACAACGTCTTCGTTGGACTATCCTATGCTATGCCTGACATATGCTTATTTTTTTTCCATTTCTCACCTTAAAGAACCTTGTTAGTGTACTCTCAATTTTCTTTTGTATCGTTACGCCATTGCCCTCTTGATAATGTTGCCTGATAAAGTTATGGGATAATTGCAGAAACCTCCCCTGAAGTTTTTAATACTAGCACTCACCTCTCTTATGGATTAGAAAATAGCACTGACCGCCCTTGAATTTAAGGTTTGTGTTACAGATTCGGTCCATGCCAGAAAGGTTACCATTAAAAATTTTGAGATGAGGATTTGTACCAAATTTGCCCTTCATGCTACTTGCTAAGTTGTATTAACAAAAGAATGACAAAATATGAAAAGCTATTAAGAATTAGCAAAATTCAAGGAGTGTAAGTGCAATTGAATGAATTTTACCAACGAAACAACGGTGGATACTAACGGCTAGTTAAATGACTATAGATCCAAGTTATTGCAACAAAGTTTATAAAGAATACACGTTACTTTTAAAACTCTCTATTAGTAATATAAATAGCTATTTATAGGAGTAACGCAACTGCTTATGTTGTCAACACTAATCATATACCTAAAAAAAAATATCGCTGAACAATCAGCTAATTAACAGCATACTTATACATCATTAAAAGTTACTGAGCATGAGATAAGTCTAGCTACAAGTAATTAGAAATACATACTAATAAGATAAAGTTGTCTTTAGAAAATGAAAACTGCAGTAAGTGCATTAGAATTACGTACTAAAATTGCTACTGCTGTTGATATTTTCATATTACAAGGTTATAACTGTATTAATGGAAAGAGATGTAGCAACTTGAGAAATAGTTGTGGGCTGAACTAGAGGAGATTTGAAATAGAAATGACTTGAACAGATATATTTATGCAAGTTCTCTTTATACTTACTTTAGTAGAAACTCCATAATGGCTTACTGACTTTCCTCCCTGCAATTTTGTAAAATTACACTTAAATTGACTGGTTCGAAAAACATAATATAGAAACATGTACGCTGTTTTCTCCCCTCAGTTGGCATCATTCCTTAGTTTTGCTTACAATGGCTAATGATACTAAAACTCACAGGTAATCTAATTTAATTAGTCACTCAATTTGTTGACAAAAAATAAATTTTCTTTTCTAAGATTATTTCATTAAGTTTCCGCAATTAGTTAGGGTATAAAAGTAAAATTATATAATTTATTGTTAGTAATAGGTCCAATTTCCTCTTAGGGGAGGTTCGTACAATTTTAGAAATTATAAGGGCGGTGAGTGCAAGTGTTAAAAACCTCAGGGGAGGTTTCTGCAATTATCCCTAAAGTTATTGGTTTCAAGAGAGAGGGTACAGATTATCGGAGAAGTTTTAATACTAATAAACTCACACATGGACCCACCGAGGACAGAGCCACATTTGACAAATTCCTTCCCTTTCATAACTCACAGTTTTTTGTATGAGTGTTTCGATAAATGGACTCTGCGAAGACAAATTCCTTCGATGGTAGTAAAATTTGACCTTTTGTGGGTTGTTTCTTTAGGATTCCTTTTTTGTTGGAATTGTATAGCACGAGTAATTCAAAACAATGAGTTTTTGCAGCTACTTGGTAGATTCAAAGGTTGTGATTTCAAGAAGAGTTGCATTTGGTCCCTCCATCCCAACAAACCTCCAAATTTCCATTGTTCCAAAATAATGAGAGTTAAATATTTATCTGGCATTTCAAATGGGATCTCTGTTTAAGTCTTGCCAAAATTGGTCGTAGCATTCTGTGAAGTTTACCATTTTAGATTTTCACACATCGGTACATCTTACAGTCAGAGCAGGATAAACTTAATGACACTGGGTGAACGAGCCTATATAGATGACAATTTCAATGAAGGGCATATTTGCGTCGTTTGAAATTTGGTGGGAACATGCAAGATTAGTGCAACTCCTGAATGATTCAGTTCTCATTTATTTTAGGATTTTGCGGGCATAGCTTTTTCAGTAGGAAAATAGTTTTCTTTCACATTTTCCATAAGTGAAATTTGGACTTCGGAAATTTTTGACTTTCCATCGACAGATAGGATAGGAGTAGATTTAGAGTTCAATAAAAGAGAAAAATTAAATTCTCAAACACTGGATTTCCCAAGTCTAGTTTAGCACAATCGGCGAGTAAGAGATAAACATGCAGGAATATCAGCAAAGGCTGGCTAGTATGAAACCAAATGGTTATTTTCTTTCTATGATGAAAATGAAGGATGAAAGTAAAATTGACATGGTCAGCAGCAATATTAGAAATTTACAATGGCTTTGATGGCATGCGAAAAAAAAGTTCATCACTTGCACAATTTTGATACACTTTATTTAGCTTCTGTTTTTCTTTTGATCACCTTCTCCTTTCTTTACTTGAATGGGATAGATTTGCTTGTTAAACTAATTATGTCTTTTCACATATAGACTGTTGGAATCTTCAAAATGGCGGTTCTTCCAGTTTTAGGTCAACTTTCAGATGATCATGGTCGAAAGCCATTTCTTCTTTTTACAGTATCTACTAGCATTTTTCCTTTCAGTAAGTACTGTAAAGTCTGTGTATGGTAATTTCATGTCCTACACTTTTGCACATTCACAATTTTTTACACAAGCACTTGGAATTCACTACCTCTTTCGTACGTAAAGGTTATTATGTTTCGTATTGGCAGCTTTGATCGTCATCAATAAGTCAAAGGGCTTTGTGTATGCTTATTATGTTCTTCGCACAATTAATTTGATCTTTACTCAAGGAAGTATCTACTGCATTACTGCTGCTTACATTGTAAGATCTTTCTTCAACACCTTTTTGAGTACAACTTTTTTAGGGGCTGTGAAGACCTGTAAGTGGCATTTTCTGTTTGCTTGCAGGCAGATGTAGTTGACGACAACACGAAGGCTGCAAGTTTTAGCTGGATGATGGGCCTCTTTTCTACCTCCCATGTCCTGGGAAATGCTCTTGCTCGTTTTCTTCCCGGGGCTTATATTTTTCTGGCATGTCATTACCGCAAAAAGAAACAAGTATTGTTTGCCTAATTTTTCAAAGTGGTATTTGTAAATCAATCTTCCCATTTCAGGTTTCTGTAGTCCTGTTGATCTTTTCTCCTGTTTATATGGCAATCTATCTGTCTGAGACTGTAACACCAGCTCCAAAAGCAGACCAGCGTTTGCCATTTTTTAAGGCGGCGTATAAGATTATTCAAGAGCAATACAACTCAATGAGATATGCAGCTAATGTTGTCACTAGCAGGTAATACAACACATTCAATTTTTGGCTGTGTTTTCTAAGTGTTAAATTCATAATCTTATGTCTCCTAGATTTCTTTAGCACCTATAATTGTGGCTTTGCTTGAAAGTTATAATTTCCAGATGGCTTCCATCAGCATATTATTTTCTATACTTTCTGAAATAAGTTCTTATTTTATCCTTAGCCCAACACTGAAGTGCATTTCACTTGCTTTGTTCTGCTACGAATTGGGGATGTCTGGCGTCAACAGCACCCTACTGGTATGTTTTCTGGAATTTAACAGAGGATGTTAGTTGAGATTCAGTTGCTTGTCCAGTTACTCAATTTGAGGCTTTCAAGTGTATTTTTACTCCCAAATTACTTTCTGCTACTTTTGCAGTATTATCTGAAGGCGGCTTTTGGTTTTG